GGAGACCGCGTTGCCTGACGAAGTTGGGGGCATGGGTGCGGAGAGGGAGACTTCGTGGCTTAACTTCTGCGCGCGGCTTTGGAGGCGCCCGGAGACTTCGCGGGAGGACGAAGGGGCACACGCCGTCGGGGCACGCGGGGCTTGCTGCCTCGGGCGTGTTTGGTGACACCCTCCCGCCCCCGCGCCGTCACTTGCTGCAGGATTTTCTCTGCGCTTGATTTTGGAGAACTTACGGGTAGGCCGGAATCTGCGAGGAAGACTGGGACCCAAACCGCATCTGACCCCTGACAACAAAAGGGAAGGTGGAATACGAGCTTTGAGCTGAAAATACACACAAGTGAAGCTGCTCGCAGGCGACCGTTTACCGTGGTTCTGAGTTATTGCCGCCGCACCGGAGAGAATCGGGGGATGTTCTTCGATGGAGTTTTTTTTTCAAAAATGAAGATTGGATTTAAGTTATTAAACTGAGTCTGGTAACTTTTTAGCAGAACGGTAATGAGTTTTGAGTTGCAGGCTCTCGATTTTTTCTTGCACTCTATTCCGCAGTTGTACTTTAAGCGTTTTGAAGAGAGAGAACTTTTATCTTTAACCCTTGGGGGGGGTAAATATTTTGGAAGTAATATGAAATATGCCATTTTGGAAAATGCAGCTTCAAGAGAACGTTGCAATAAAATTGAGCAGGACTCATCTCTCATCTTTTGTTACGGATAGTATTGCATGTAGGCTTTTCTGTTTCTTTGACAGCTAGCTGTCTAATACTGTTGCTGCGGGATTTCTCTTTAAGGTTGATGTCAGCAGCCGAAAGCAGCTGTGTGCTGTTTTATTGTACACAATGAAAAACCTGTTGATTTCTGAAGCAACTTCAGCTACTACTACTTTAAAAGGTGTTTGTTTTTCACATTTTCCAAATTATGCTTCTGTTTTTCTTTCAACAGGAAGGAGTCAAGACTGAGAACAACGATCATATTAATTTGAAGGTGGCGGGGCAGGATGGTTCTGTGGTGCAGTTTAAGATTAAGAGGCATACACCACTTAGTAAACTAATGAAAGCCTATTGTGAACGACAGGTGAGAAACGGATATGTGCCTTTCCACTGAATAAAACTATTTAAAATCTTGTTTTCTTGAGAAGAGAAACTAGTTAACATATTACAGTGGCTTTTTGGTAGGATGAATAGGCACTTGTACTTGGCATGTCAGTTTTATTAGATACTTGGTCTGTTGATTCCTCATGATTTGGTTAGTATTATATGTGATTCTAGTTTTGTGCCAGAAATGCATCAAATTATATTTGCAACACTTAGATTTTTCCCAGTGAAATATCGTTTTATGTTCATAAGATAATAAGTTAACTTGGTAAAATTTGTCAGGTTCTTTTTTTATTCATTTGAAATTGGTCTTGTGTCAGAATGTTTATTTTGAGTATTTTAACAAGTTCGGAAATTAAGTTAAATGTGAGTTTAAGGATATTTCAGCTTTCTGTGGCATGTAAATTGTAATACTTGGTTTTATACATTACTGGTAAAAGTCAGAAAAATTTAGCCACCCTGAGCCAAGCATAAATGTTGGTGTATTATAGGGATATTTGCATTTTACTCAGAAAAATAGAGACATCAAGAAGAGGAAGTAGAAAATTTTGCTGTCATGATTTGAACAGATGTTGGGAGGTAAATGACTAAAGTGAAGGAGCTTCCTTTTGTGATGTTGGCTCTGTAACAAGACACAAAGGCAACTTTTTTTTTTTTTTGAGTTGGAGTCTCACTCCATCAACCAGACTGGAGGACAGTAGCAAGCTCCTGGCCACTGCAGCCTCAACCTGCTGGGCTCAGGCTGTCCTTCCGCCTCAGCTTTCCAAGTAGCTGGAACTACAGGCATGCGCCACCATGCCCGGCTAATGTTTTGATTTATTGTAGAGATGAGGTCTCACCAAGTTGCCCAGGCTGGTCTCAATCCTGCGGGCTCAGGTAATCCTCTCACCTCAGCCTCCCAAAGTGCTAGGATTATAGGCTTGAGCCACCGCACCCCCCAAAGATAACTTTTAAAGATGAGTTTTGCAAGAATAATAAAAATTCTGGTACCTAGATCAGTTAATCCAATAATAACCTCACACCCTGAATGTATAACATATAATAGCTAGAGAGGTTATTTTTTAGACTAGAAGAACTTATCTACATTGTGAATTGTTCTAAATAGGCTCAAAATAGGGCAAGACTTTAGCCTAATATTAGTTGGGAAGTTGAGTTGATACTTGGGCTTCTTCCATGACACCTAAGGATATTTGAAAAATCAATGAGACTGAGTGTGGTTGGCTCACGCTTGTAGTCTCAACACTTTGGAAGGCCAAGGAAGCAGGATTGCTTGAGGCCAGAAGTTTTTTTTGAATTGAAGTCTCTCTGCGTCACCCAGGCTGCAGTGTAGTGGCAAGCTCACGGCTACCCCGGTGTCAACCTGCTGGGCTCAGGTGATCCTTCCGCCTCAGCCTTTCAAGTAAATGGAACTACAGGTGCGCCGCTACCAAGCCAGGCTAATTTTTTTATTTATTGTAGAGATGAGGTCTTGCCAAGTTGCCTAGGATGTTCTCGGACCTGGTGGCTCAGGCTTAAGCCACTGCACCGGGCCGAGGCCAAAAGTTTGAGACCAATTTAGGCAATACACTGAGACCATGTCTCTTATTAAAAAAAAAAAAAAAGTCAACCGGGCTCGGTGGCTCAGCCTGTAATCCCGCGCCTTTGGGAGGCTGAGGTGAGTGGATTGCCTGAGCCCGCGGGTTCGAGACCCGCCTGGGCTGCGAGACCTCATCTCTACAATAAATCAAAAAATCAGCCGGGCATGGTAGCACATGCCTGTAATTCCAGCTACTGGGAAGGCTGAGGCGGAAGGATCGCCGGAGCCCATCAGGCCGAGGCTG